CGTGCGGGCTGCTGCGCCCCCTCCAAGGAGGGGGGCGGGACTCCCGGGCGCGGGCGGAGGCCGCCGGGTGCGGCCGCTGGCGCTGGCGGAGCCCGGCCAGGGAAGGTCCCGGTCGGAGGCGCCGCACAAGACAAGGCCCCGGGAGGGGCCCATGCTGCGCGGGCGGCTGGCCAGGGCGGCGGGGGGGGGGGGCCGGAAAAAAAAAAGCCTCCGCCCGCTGTGCGTGCGCACAAATCGCCGCTGGCAACCCTGGCCTGTGGCGGGCGGGCATGCATGGGCGCCGGTGCCGGGGGCGGGCGAGCGGGACGCGGAGGGCGGCAGCGAGAGCGAAGGTGCGAGAGAAGGAGAGCAGAAAGCCTGGGGGGGGGGGGGGGGACGCCGCCGACACCGCACCGGCGCCCGCGGCCGTGCGCCCTCGTGCGGGCGCCTATTAACCATGCGCCCGGCCGGGCTCGCGCGCACGCACGCACGCACGCACGGGGAACCCAGGCAGTGGTGAGGCGCGCTGTGCGCTCCCGGGCCGGCCCGGGGGAGCCATGGAGCGCCCCCATGGGTGTGGGCGAGCGCGCGCGCCCCTGCGCGGCGGGTCCGGTGCATGGTCGGAATGGGGCGCGGGGGAGGGGAGCCCGGGTGCGGCGGCGGCCGGCGCCCGGGCCATTGTCGCGGCCTTTTGCTCGGCGTCAGCCGCGCCCGGCCCCGGACGCATGAGAGGGAAGGGGGCGCGCGCGCGCGCGCGGGGGGCACAGGTGTGCAGTGGAAGCAGGTATATATATGTGCCTTATGTTATTACTCTAATATTGCGCCTTTCTTGCTCTCCCACCAAGGGCCGCTCGGGGGCCGGCATCCACGGGGCGGCGGGGGCGAGGCGCGGAGCGAGCAAGAAACAGAGTCCCAGCCAGAGAGAGCTCGAGGGACAAAGACCGCCAGCACGTGCATACACCCCCTCCACCGCGCGCAGGCCGCCCAGTCAAGCGTGCCCGGTGCCTTCTCTTTTGTGGCGCCCACGGCCGGAGAACGAGCGAGGGGGAGGGCGCGCTTTGCCCCCCTTGTTAAGCCCCTCCCCCCCCCCGTGCGAACGCGCCGCCCCTCCCGCGGTCCGAGAGGAGCCGGAGCCGGAGCCGAGGGCGTCTCCCCGACGCGAGCATCTCCCTCCCCCTTCAATAAATATGACGGCGTCAGCCGGGCGGCGTTTTGAGTGCGCGCACATACCGCCCGGGCCCAGCCATCGGCTGCCTCCCCCCCCCCCCCCGCCGGCCTCCCCGGCAACGCGACCCAAAACCCGGGCATGAGTCCCGCCCCCCCCCCCCCCCGGGGGGGGGCGTCCTCCCGTCGGCGCCCTTGGGGCCTTTGCCCCCGCCGCCCAGGGGGGCGGGAGAAAACGAACAGCGGCGGCCCGGCTGTCCGGCGGCCCGGCGGTCCCGGCTGTCCGGCCTCCGGCCAGAGGCCCATCCGAAGCACTTCGGCACGCCGGCAAAAGGTGCGCGCATCGGGTCTTCCCGGAGCTGACCGCACCTGCCCCCGATCCGGATGCCCGCCTTCGCCAGGCCGCCCCGCCCCCCCCCCCCCGGGTGCGGGGTCTGTGAGTGCTGCGCCGCATTCGCGCGGGAGGCGAGGGACGCGCCGCGGGTGGACGCTGGGCCGGGCGCGTGCTCCGCGGGTCACGCGCAGGTCACGCCCCTCCTCGCGGATCACGCCCGGCCACCGTTCGACGGCAGCTCCCGATCAGCCCTCCGGCGGCGGGGGGTTGCCTGGAGCGGCGTGTTCCCGGGGCTCCCTCTCTCCCCCTCTCTCCCTCTCTCACGCGCGCGCGAGGAGGTGGGGCTGTTGGGCGCGTCCGTCCGGCGGCCCCTCCTGGCCCCCCCCCCCCCGCCAGCCGAGGGCGGCCACTCGGCCGGGAGGAGCCGG